TTTTTTTTTGTGTATGCATGGAAGATCGCTTGAAAGTTTGGTATATTATGAATTGAGGTTAAATATTTAGTATATTTACTTTTGCATGCTGCTTTTGACTAGGTTAACGAGCTATACGATATGTATCTATGTATGTATGTGTCTTTCCGAAGTTAGTTTTATTGGATCTTCAGCTTTACTCGTAGACTATGAGAGCTGAAAACAGATTAGGCATAAATAGTTTTTATGTTTTTATTTATAAGTAAGCTAGAATAGAGATTCTCCAAAGGCCAAGCTTATAATCCATTTTAAATTAGGTTCTTTAATGCTATTAATATGAATACGTTGATATGTTTTACGTATAGGGATAAAATTGTTTCTTATATTCTTAAAAATATATCCTTAATATTATTCAATACGAATATATATATTTTATTTGAATAAACAATTTCGTTGTTTTCCTCTCACTTTTCCAGTTTCAAAGAATGTTGATGTTGCAATACAGCAAGCATGGTGAGTGCATCCTCAAAGAAATTGGCGCGGCTTTTAGGGGGGAGCATCCAGCCGACCTGACGATCGTCTGTGAGAACAAGGTGAAGTTACACGCACACAAATTAGTGCTCGCTGCTGCCAGTCCGCTCATTAGGTGAGTACCGTTAGATAATCAATGAGCGCTTCCAATTTAATTTGAATTGCAATTTGCAGAAATTTGCTGGAGGATACTCACCTGAGCGATTGCACGACAACAGTTTATTTTCCTGATGTCAACGCGACATATTTCAAGTTTCTGTTGGACTTTCTGTACTCGGGACAGACGTGCATAACGTCGCGGGATGTGAACTATCTGCACGATTTGCTGCTGCTGCTGCAAATCAAGTCGGACAGCTGGAAGACAACAGACTCTGCCTATCTTAGCAATAAGTGCGCCGGAAGCATACGAGAGAGGCCACGGAAACAGCAGCCGCAGCAGCAGCAACAGCAACAACAACAGCAGCAGCAGCAGCAGCAGCCGCACCCACAGCAGTATCCGTCCCCGCACACAGATCAATCGTTTAAATATGAAGTTGAGAGCGTGGACGAGACACGAAATACCGGCGATTTTAACGCATTCCCCGCCGAGAACTGTGAGGCCGGCAATGAGTGTGCGCACAGCAAGGAGGAGGATGAGGACGATGAGTGCACCAACAAGGACAATAAGAGCGATAAAGACACTGATGAAATTGTAAACCTTTCCGACATTCCAGCGGGCGGACTTGCCAACAACAGTAGCAGCAGCAGCAGCAGCACCAACAACAACGCTTCCAACACCACCACCGCCACCACTCATACCAACAACAACAACAACAATAATAATAATATTAATAACTCATCGATAAATCCTGTCAACTTGTCGCTCGATCTGCGGACGAAAGGGGACAACAACTCGCCGCGCATTGATACCAAGAATTTTCTGCTAAAGCAAAGCAACATCGATTCGATCAGCGCACACGAAAGCACGAAGCGAAAAGGACTATTCTTTGACACTCACAAGGATGTGATGAAACCGCTGTCCGATGGCGCCGACATCAATAGTTCGCCCGAGAATTATGTGGTGACGCCGCATCGGAAGCGTCGGCCGGGCTTCCACAATACGCAGAGCGATAATCAGCCCTTCACCACGTATCCGCACAATCTATTGGAGGAACTGCGTCTGGTTAAGTCAACAACGTCGCCGATAGCGGGTCTGGCGGCATCCGAGAAGAATATATTGTCGCAACTGGAGGATGGCACTCTTAATCCAGACGCAATGACGCCCGAGCGGAAACTGTTCGAATCCCAACGAAATCGAGTTCAAAGTCCCGAGCTGCAGATGCATCTGGGTCAGCAGTTCGTCTACCAATGGCAGTCCAATCAGAATGCGGCGCTCTCCGCAATGCCCAATCTGCAGTCGCGATTGTCCAGCTTGTCGCACATCAACTTAAGCCTGGATCCGGAGAGTCGCAACAGCAGCGCGTCCGTGTCGAGCATCGCCGCCAACAACACGCACACGACGTCCTCGGTGCGCGAATATCGCTGCGAATACTGCGGCAAGCAGTTCGGCATGTCCTGGAACCTGAAGACACATCTCCGCGTCCACACCGGCGAAAAGCCGTTCGCCTGCCGCCTCTGCGTGGCCATGTTCAAGCAGAAGGCCCACCTGCTGAAGCACCTGTGCTCCGTGCATCGAAACGTCATCACCACGACCAACGGAACGGATACGGAGAATCGATATAGCTGCTGTTTCTGCTCGATGTGCTTCGAGTCGGTGCAGGAGCTGGTGCGCCATCTATCGGGGCATCACAACAACCTTCTGCTCACCAAGAATCTTCGGGAATAAATCTGTAGGAAAGATCTGTTCGATGTTGAGCCCATCGACCCATCGAGCACGTAATTGCAAAGAGACCTGAATTTTTATATATATATAGAAACTTACGGTAAACAGTACAACAAGAGCAAAGCAGAGCAATCGCATTGCATTGCATGGTTTTGCATTGCCTGGCATTGCTATTGTATAAAATAATATGTTAAATGTACATTTAAAGCATAACTTTATTATTTACACATTCAATTTACACTCTACTCAATCATTTCATTGCGGCAATCCACGGCACGAGCCACGCCTAGACGAGCGGTGCGAGCAGCCACCCGTATATTGGCCTACTATTGTATAGATCTGATCAGATGCATATATGTATTGAGTATTGTATCTGGTATCTAAGCGGGGTCCCTCTTTAAGCCGGCTGGTCCATTTAAGTGGAACATTCGTAGGTTTTAAGCATATTTTTTATATACACTATATATATATATATATATATTCAAAAGGTATTGTAATTTGTATTGTATTTTCTACTTGATTCACATTTTACAATTTTACACTTTTAAATTTTACTTTTTACCTTTGAAAAACAAAAAACAGAAAACAGCAAAAAAAAAAAAACAAAAACAAAAAAAAAAGAAAACAACTTATTTTTTATACACTCTCTTCTGTAGTTTTGAAACTTTTTGGAATACGTTAATAAGCATGTGTAAGTTGTACAGAACAAATTTACAAGATTGTAATAAAAAAACAAAAGCATTTCTTTTTTAACTTCTCTTTCACTTTCATTGTACATTATGTAATTTGTTTACTTTCGAATTTTTAATATAACTGCAAAATGTTAACAGCTACAAATAATTGAAATCACATTTGTGTATTCTGATTGGATGTTGGTTTGGTTATTGCTAATTTGAATATAACTAAATGAGCTTTCAAAATGAATCCTAATTGGAGTTGTTAATGGGTTTGGTTAATATAACTTATGTTGTAATAGGCATACAAGTGAAATTTTGACTGGGATGATTTACTGGAATATCAAATGAAATGAGCTTAAACAATTGTCAGTTTAATTCCATACGAATGTGCGTTCCAATTAGAGTTGTCTAGAGTACTTGTGGATTATACCAATTGGAATATAAGTTAAATGTATAAATGCAGAATCATTCCGACTAATGCCTAATAGGCCTTTATATCACTTTTACAAGCCTAATTAAATGATTAAAATGGATAACAATTAGCTAATCATCATTGCTTATTAAAATATCAGCAGATTGTACGTAAGTATGTGTGATTATGACTGCATATTGACACCACATTACATATTAGTGTAATGGGGGTCTGTGAGTCATATAAGAAGTAATCGCATACAGACATGAGCCACTTAGTATCTCTCACCTGCTCAGCAGCTCAAGAGTTGAGTTCGTTTCTGCTCGGGAGGGACCGATCGGTCGCTGCCCTATATAAAGGCAAGCCTGCTGCATCAAATTTTCAGTCTTGTTTCTAACGTTCTGGTGGTCGGTCGGTCCGCGCAGTGCAGTGCAGTGCTTCCTCTTCTTCGTAATCGGTTTTTCGGTAAATATTTAATTAGTTTAAAATAATGTTAGGTATATTAAGTAAAAATGTAATAGTTGCATTTAAGAAAAATTATAAAAATAATTGTGATTAAATGTTAATGATGATCTATATGTTTGAGATCATTAAATAAATATTGACTAAGATTACTC